TTTACGGAAAACGGTTGCGCTTGTTACAGGTGTGATGTCTACCTTAGGATCCAAAGAGCCACAAAACTGGGAAGAGGTCAGTGTTTTTCAGCCTTGGCCATTTTAAGATGGGTGGACTTTAACTCCCAGCCAGCAAAGCTGGAATTAAGGAGAAACTTCCTGACAGTGAGGACAGTTAACCAGTGGAACAGCTTGCCACCAGAAGTTGTGAATGCTCCAACACTGGAGCTTTTTTAAGAAGAGAACTGGACAACTGTCTGCCTGAAATAGTTGAAGGTCTCCTGCTTGAGCAGAGGGTTGGACTAGAAGACCTCCAAGGTCCCCTGCTGGTTCTATTCTGATTGAGTGAGTCGAAGTCCAGCCCTCTTGGAAGTGGTCAAGGTTGAGAGGCACCGGAAGAAGGTCTTGAGAAGTCCACCAGAGGTGGAGGGTCTTACTGCGCTAAACAACGGAAGGAGTTTCTCTGCCAGGGTCACGACGTCGCTCCTCTGCATGAACTTCAGGATGTTTTGAAGGGCGGTGATGGTTTCCAGGATGATGCCGTTGTCCGTTTCTTCCAGGCTTCCCAGGAGGGTGGGCATCAAGGCCTTGACTTCCTCCACCTGCAGACAGGAGGTGATGACCGTCATAGAGAGCCGAGGTGGCGCAGTGGTTAAATGCAGCACTGCAGGCTACTTCAGCTGACTGCAGTTTTGCAGTTTGGCTGTTCAAATCTCACCGGCTCAGGGTTGACTCAGCCTTCCATCCTTCCATTGTTGTTGGGGGCGATATGCTGACTCTGTAAACCGCTTAGAGAGGGCTGAAAGCCCTATGAAGCGGTATATAACTGCTATTGCTATTGCTATTAATCTCAAAGCATGATGGGCATTTCCATTGTATGCAACACCGCATAAAACTGAATGTTTAGTGATTGTGTATGCCTAATTTAGAGTCAGATGTTGGTTCTGTGGTACAGTCATAGATTTACATACCTTAAACCAAACCTGTCTCTGATGCACTAAATCAGTGCTGGTTAAGGAACATGTACATTAGTCTTCATGTCAGAATTAGTTGTAACCCAATTAGATGTCTTATTTCATACCAGAATCCTTACCAGATTACCCCACACCACACCACACCCCCACAATCCCAATATTTAATTCAGTCACAATGGGGTTAGTTAATTCAGTTAGTTAATGGGGTTGGTTAATTCAGTCACAATGGGGTTATTTTCTGGGCTAGATGTTCCAGTAAGTTTTTCTGCTGCATAAGTGGCAGAAACTGTATGTATAAACATGGAAAATATACTTCTATTCGAAGAATATAAAACCCACTTTCTGTTTTATTTTCAGGCTCTCCTTTTGTAAATGCAATTATTCACAAAGGCTTTGATGAGAGACATGCTTACATTGGAGGAATGTTTGGAGCAGGAATTTATTTTGCTGAAAATTCTTCCAAAAGCAACCAGTATGTCTACGGTATTGGTGGCGGCACAGGTTGCCCCCTTCACAAAGACAGGTCCTGTTACATCTGCCATAGGTAAGTTATATTTATTTTTATGGCTACAGGCTCCTCTTCAGAGAATCTTGTTTGGCACACAGATTCAGTGGGTCTAAACAAATAAAATAACAGGAAAAACCAAACACATCGGTATATAATAGGTGGCACCTGGCTGAACAGTAAGTTGCTGTAAGAAGGATCTAGGTGTCCTAGTGAACATCCATTTAATGAGTTAGCAATCTGCTATAGCTGCCAAAAAAGCCAGTGCAGTTCCGGGTTCCATCAACCTGGGACCAAGGATAGCATCTAGATCACGTTAAATGATAGTACTGCTTTATACTGCACTGGTATGATTATACTTGGAATACTGCATCCAGTTTTGTATTGCCATGATACAAAAAAGATGCTGAGATTGTTTAGTATAACAAAGAAAAGGACTAGGGGTGACATGATAAGAGTCTTTCAATATTTGAGGGGCTATCAGAAGAGTTAACTATTCTCCAAAGTACCTTGGGGCAAGAAAGAAGTAACAGATGGAAGATGAATAAAGAGAGACCCAACCTAGAATTAGCAGAAATTTCCTGACAGAACAATTAATGAGTGACAGAGTTTGCCTCCAGTAGTTGTGTGTGTTACTTCACTGGAGGTGTCAGGTGCTCCTTC